AAAATATTTTTTTTACACCACAATAATCCCGCTACAGTGAGAACAAAGCCTTACTGCAACTAAAAATAACGACCATTGTTGCTTACGTCAATGCAACGTATATATCGATTGTGCGCTAAAATGACGCTGGATGAATCCTAAAATTATACTGGTTCGTATGTTAATAAAAATATATTTTATGATCTAACGATAATAAAACAAGTTTTCTTCAATCTTACTGTAATATGTGAAAGTCTGTATTATCTTTACACAGATGTATACCGTAATCGTTATATTTAAGTATACATATAAATGTCAATATAATTGAATAGACAGAGAGACCATACCCAAAATCAATATTTTTTTCAACATGACCCCCAGTATGAAAAAATATTTCGCGATCCCGGACCCTTCGCTTATTTTTCATGTATTTTATAATATTACAAAGATGTTGTAGGGACTGAATACTTTAATCCATACAACATTATTTTTCCTTTGCATAGTTAAGTTTCGAATAAATACAGAATTAAGTATAATAGTATGTATCTCTATAACTATGTTTTTTTTGCTAAAGTGGTTTTCGCGACCCCCCAGGGGGTTGCAACCCACACGGGGTTGAAAAACACTGCACTAAATAATAACACATAAGATACTCTTTATCTTATTTTACGACAGCGAGTTGATATTTGTAATTTCTTGACACCTTAATGGCTCAATATTGTGTAAACGTAGTATTTGGGAAGAGAAAGACATATGATACGAGAAGGACATACGATACTTCAGGTATGCTTTGATCTAGGTCACGTAAACAAAGTCGCGAGCACAGTCAGTTATAAATAAATAAAAGAAATCGTGGTTGCAACATTTTAGTCGTAAAGCTTGGTAAGTTCTAACAGGTGCTCACGTGATGGCGCGCGTAGTAATGATCTAACATTGTCATGTACGAATGGCAAATATGAGCCATTTGTCATATCAGTGGCCATGTCCATGGTGAAAGTAAGAGCAGATTTAGAGCACTCTAAAGTCTAACAACAAACAATTTTCAATGTAACTGAGTATGGCAAACAGACTAACTATAACCTATAGACATGACCAGCACTATGGGCACAACAAAATATACTGTAATGCCCGTAGTATCCCTCATGCTTTGCCATTCCTGAAGTCTATAGTGTCATGTTACCGTAATCTGTAATTTCACTGTCATAAACCTTACTTTGTCCCTTACGTTGTCTCTTCTCTGATAAATTCTAGTAAAGAAATCGTTTAAAAGTTGCTTGAAAAGTTTTCCAATTTCTCTGTACTGTGCTCAGGTTTAATATATGAAAAGATATTACAATCTGTATATATTACTATTGATAAATATGTAAAATATTATAATATCTAGTATAAAAACGATTTGTTTCAAAATAAGCGAAAATAAAGAGGAGAGATAAAAATAAAATTATATTTTTATAATATAATTTACAATAATGATTTCCGACATCTTTCCATGCGCAAAAGCATGAATTTAAAAAAAAAAAGTTTTATGTAGGAAAAAAGACGGCAGTTATAAATCGCATAGTACGTTCGCATCTAATTATAGGTATGAGAAAACATATATTTTGGGTATTCGCGTTTACCGGCGACATATTAATGGAGCGGACTAGTGTTTAAAACGTCTACACCCATTCCTGTTTCACATTCGATAATAAACTTTTGTTATTGAAATAATGTTAAAATAACTGGCGTTAATATAATATTTTTACTTCTTCAATTCGTCATAACACATTGTAAACCGTTACGCCAGCGTTTTAAAATAAAATAAAAAAAGAACACAATAGAAATTAAAGACAACAAAATATGTAGACACGTAAAGAAGGAGTTTTAAACTACCATAAATTAACAACTGGCGATCCGCCACGGCTTCGCGCAGCACGGCTTTACTTTTGACGCTCATATCTCGATAGAAGAGGCAGCAATAAAAAAATTACTGTATAAATTATACTCACGGTCAATGACCAAATATAATTGGGCTACCGCAACTTTAATAGTTTAATTAATTTAATATATAACTTACTATTAATACTGGTACTTTATTTCGGAGTAAGAAACTTAAAGAAAGAACATATCTCAAATTTTAGAGACAAAACTTATAATAATAATAATAATATTATAATCTTAAAGATTTTGACTAGTTACGCGTGGATATTGGAAGTAGGTAACCATTTCCAGATCACGTATCAAGATAACCCACGCATCATAAGTTAGACCTTCAAGAATATTACTAGAAAAACCGCATTTAATTTGGTGTAGTAATTTTTGCGTGATGTCGATACTAACATACAGGTAAAAAATATTGTTTTTGTTTTTAATGCTCTTATAAATTTTTCTTAATTCCCTAAAAATTTTTTATAAATCTTTTTCTCTATATATCTCCTATGTATAGACATCGTTTAGTAATTTTAAAATCGTTGCCATGCTTGGCAGGCAGGTTGGCAATCGCAATTAGGTTTTGGTGATATTTTAAATAGGATTCTGCTGACTATCCCTCGACCATAAAGTACCCTTAATCGTCTCTTACGACACGCACGGAAAAGGAAGGGGCGACACATTCTGTGCCAGGACTATACGGTGAATATATGTAATATACATCTTATTCTTAAAACGCAGTGTACAGAACACATTTACATTATATAGATAGAGCCACGAGTCTCAAAAACGAGCCAACTTTTTGTCAGCTAATTGTCAAATTAGCTGATTAGTTTTTTATCATTATTCTATATATTTACACATAAAATGTATCTTAGCGTATTATTTAATAAATAAAATTAGTGTTTACGCATTAAAAAGATGCAGAATTAATAAGACAAAATCAATATAGAAGTTATAAAGGAATCACTTATAACTATTTATTATGCAAAATTGTATGAAAAAGTTATCCCGTTTTTCTCGAAGTATTTCTATGTATATAATCATTCTATCTATATAATCTATAGGAACAGGTAAAAAAATCATAGCTATGTACATATTGGTGGTATTAATCTTTAAAATTAAAAAAAAAAAATAAAAAACTAAGAAATTTGATAAACATAACACGAGCAGAGAATACAAAGCATGTCATGTAGCTACGGCCAGATCGAAACAGATGCGCTGATTTATAGACTTCTATTTTTAAATCAGAGTTCATTGTGGTGGAAATATTGGCCACGAGGTTGTTATATAGATTTTTTTTGTACAATATAATACAGTATAGTTTTTTGCTAGCGATGCAAGATGTTATCATTTAAATATATAAAAATCCCAAAAAATCACAAAATTCGTTTACGTTAATATTCGATACTGTTCGAATAATTTTAATGAAATATTGTACATATATATTAGAATTTACATATTTACAGCCAGTCTATTCAATTCATTCATTCAATTCGGCTAAGGGAACTTAGTGGTAGAGGGATGCGTAGCAGCGTCCCTATTAAAACACCACTGAAAGCCCAATTGCGGTTGCCAATCTCGCCTGCCAAGCGTGGCAACTACTGGCAAAGCTCCCCTTATGGGGAAAGCTTATGTTCAGCAGTGGACGGTTAACGGTTGGTATGATAAGGATGATAAGAATAATTAAATTTTGCCGCTCCTACCGATCTCTATAATCGATACCCTAAGTCTTATCTGCTATTCCCATCTTGGCGTGTAATATAATTATTTATGTATAAGAATATTTATTTGTATATGTAAATACATTGTATGTATGTGTATCTATTATTATTAGTACCGCGTTCGAGTATTCAAATACTTCCCTAAGTTTCACTTGAAAAGAATACTTTTAACATTAAGTCCGCCTTGTACATATACATTAGTACATACTAATGAATAAATAAATAAACTACTCTCTGTACACTCTATTCAATCATATTATTAACAATTTGTCTCCAATGAAATTGTAGCTGTATCTATTAAAAAAAATACTCCAAATTTGTCACCCCTAAAATCTACCGCCCTAGACTCCAACCTACTCAGCCTGGTGGTAAATCCACCGCCATGTGTATTATTTGCTGCAACTTGAGAAACATCATAGTTTTTCTGCCGATATGAAACAATGGATCAGGTGGGCGGCGATGAGAATACGTTTGTGGGGTCAAATATTTTTATATCATATTTATTAAGGTTGCCTTAGGACATTTTTCAAATATGTGGGCGAAGTCACGAAGAGAAACGTCCATCGTTAAGGTCTATTTATATTTCCGCAGTCAGGAAACCCGAAGAGATTAATAATACAAGTAATATATTCATAAATATTATATTTATATTATGTAAAAAATAGCACAAAATACAAATAATAATTAAAAATAATTAAATTGTTATTAAAAAAAAATACTTCACTTTGGAAATATTAATTCACTTGTGGGGAATTTTTTCGCATACTTGCAACAGTAAAAATTGCGCGAAATCTTTGAAAAAAAAATGTTAACATTTATAATAGTGTTTATGCTTAAAATTAAAGATATTTACCGGTTATAAGTGATTCCTTTATTAGTTCTATTTTTTATCATATAAATTTTGCTTCTTCTTAATGCGTAAAAACTCATTTTATTTATTTAATAATTAAATAAAGACACGCTGTGAGCGTAAGTATATAAAACATTAATAAAAAAAGAGTCAGCTAATTTGATAATTAGCTGACAAAAAGTTGGCTCGTTTTTGAGACTCGTGGCTCTATCTATATAATGTAAATGTGTGCACCATTAGACAGAACAAACGACGACCCCCTATCAAAATATTCTATTCTCTTCCCATATAAATATTAAAAATTGCTATAGTGGAAAGCCATGTACATCTATTGAATAGAATGGACTTACTGTGCCCGACCATTCCCTCCCGTTGTAATATGAACAGATCTTTACAAGTATATATATTTTAAAGTCACAGGGCCAAATAAGCACATCATTAGCGTTTTATAAATAACATGTATGTGTACACACACATGTGTGCGTGTGTGCGTAGGTTGTAAGCATGGTGTTATTGTGTGGATTATAATCTAAACTGACCTGAAGAGATTCAGAGTCGCCGTCGCCCTCGCCGCCCCCGCCGCGGTCGTTCACGATGTCCTAAAAATATTGTGCGATTTATTTACATGACCATTTTACATCACGGTATTTATATTAGGAACAATTTTAATATATTGATATAAAACAAAGCGCCATCTAGTGCCAAACTAAGCAAACAACTAATAAATATACATTTTCTGTCCATAATACATACATAATATATACAAAAATCACGTATAATCTAAGAAAGCTAAAGAAATTGTGTAAAAATTATCACACAAATACTGAGTAAATTTAAATAATAATAGATCTTTTTTTTATATTTATTAAAAAAATTTATACCCCACTACATTTACAAGAACTAGTTATCCTTTCAATAGACAAATAACTACAATTATTAAGACCATTTATTAAATTTCAATGATATAAGAGGACAATTAAAAGTTTACGTTACATATTAAGACATAAGTCACAATCAAACTCTATATTCACTTAGGACTTTCTTCCACTAAATAAGATAAATATCATCTGTATAAAATATCCATTAATTAAGATAGATAACGCCTTTCCCAAATACGAAACAAAAGCGATAGAATAAACGACAAGTACGTTTATTGCCTACTTGATCCCAATGAAAGGAAATTACCTATATATCTCATATCTCTGAAACAGGCACACGAGAAATGGTATCATCAGCCCCATAGATTTTGACTTATTCAGAAAGTTCACTATTCGGTATGAAATTTTAATGATCAAACAGGTACGATGCTTCGCGTAGACAAGGTTCCGGGTTCGATTCTCAGTTGGGCCTATTTAGAAAATTAACTACTCGCTCTATGAATAACGACAGGGCACATTGGTTTGGAGATGCGAAAAGAATGTTAGATAAAAGATTGATGTAAGAGATATACAATACAAAACCATGGCTTGGAAAAGATATTACAGTTATACTCTTTTATGCATAAAAATCTATTTTTAACTGACTTCAAAAAGAAGGTTTCAATTTGGTTGTATTTTTATGGTTATTGCCTCATAACTCCGGCAGAGCTAAACCGTTTTTTTTATTAACCCTTAAATACCTGAAGTTTCAAATTTGATACCGGGGTTATAAATCGCATTGGGCACCTACAATCGATTTATTAATTCAATTTATTTTAATATTTGGCTGTTTATATGTTACCGAATGTATTTTCAAAATTAATATATAATAATATCGTTTTGATTTTTTTTTACTATTTTTTCCCATTAACAAATACAGTAAAGGATACACTTATATATTTTTTTATTTAATTTAAAAAATCAGGCTTTTAAATACTTAAGGGTTAAAAATTATTTAATTACAAATTGGACCCATAGAAATTATATCAATTAATTTTTAGATCAAAAATGGTTTTGTCGCAATTTAAGTCCATTTTTTTGTGGTACACAATCTTTAATAGCTATTCCATTGTAATTCTATAGCTATTAAAGTGTATTATTGTCCCTGTCTTTCTAATTGAGAAATTAGTGCAAAAGAAGAAATAAAACTCTATGTACATGTGTATCGATGTGGGTCGAAAGCTCTTTGCCATTCTAAGTTGCATAAAACACTAAGACGTTACGTCAAGTTAATATGTAAGTAGTTTTCCAACCCCTATTTTATGATAAAATGTTCTAAACTAAAGAGTAAATTAACAAAAATACAAGGAAGTGGTCTAACGAGACAGCTCCTTTAAAGCTATGATAACGATTTCGTTCTAACTCAAAATTTGAGAAATATTCGTTTCAATTTTTTAATATCGACAAGACAAAAATTAGAGGAGTAGACCTTACATAAAATGAAAAAATCTAAGGAAAAGAAGAGAACATCTGATAGGCGATGACCGATAACATAGTAGTATAAACTTTCTTAACCCTGACTCTATCTCAATCGTTAGGGGTACAAAAAAAAAACGGTATGTAACCGTTTTTTTTTGTACCCCTAACTTTTTTACCCCTTTGTCTGTGTCAACAGAACTTAATAAAAATATAAACATTTATGAAACTATTACAGAAACACTTTGTAATTTAAATTAGTAACAAATAGAAACATTCAATAAATTTTTTGTGTCACTGTTGGACACCAGCTAATATCTTAAAATCGGGTCGATTATTTGTTTGTTTACATTTTCATTAATTTCTATTCAAACAGACTATAATTCAGTTATCATTAAAATCCTGTAACGATGTGCATACCTCCATATCAACGTGCCCTACACCAGTGGAGCGCCTCTTCGGTCGTCGGCGGCGCTGTATCACATTCAGGGCCGCTTGTGTACTCGCCGGCGACGCATTGCTCGACGTTTTACTCTCAGCACTGCCCTCTCGTTCTTTATCATCATCACCTAGAACATTCCTCTTGTCAAATTCGCGACTATCAAAACCTTAGAATATAATAATCACTCATGTAAAATACTCAAATTAATTTCACCAAATTGTCATCACTACAGCGCTTGTAATTTTATAGAATTGCCATATTAGATAACTAAAGATTTTATTTGCATCCTTATAATTACAATCGTGTCTATACAATTTTATTGTTTACTAGCGGCCCGTGCCGGCTTCGCACGGGTAGACATTTTTACATTTTAAAAAGTGGCCATTAAGGCTGCACACACGACGGAAACTTAAAAATAAAGTAACTTCTCCCGTTTTCCCAACATTTCCCTTCACTGCTCTGCTCCTATTGATCATAGCTATGAGCTAGCGAAAAGTATACTATAACCTGCCCAGGAGTATAAAGAATAATTGTACCAAGTTTTGTTAAAATCCGTCGAGTAGTTTTTGTTTCTATAACGAACATACAGACAGAAAGACAAAAATTTTACCGATTGCATTTTTGGCATCAGTATCGATCACTTATCACCCACTGATAGTTATTTTGGAAATCTATTTCATGTACAGAATTGATCTCTCTACAAATTTATTATAAGTATAGATTATATGCACTGATGTATATAAAAATACCCTAGATATAATGGCAATAGAATATTTAACTTGACAGGGTTTAAACAAATTTTTACATTCATTTCTGATTCTGAGAAGAAGACCAAGGTGAAATAGTTGGTATCATGTCATATTTCAAGAAGTAAATAACTTGTCTGGCTCCATACCGACATCATCCTGATATTCGTACCACACATTCTAATATCTTCTATACATCATTAGAGCGGATAATTTTTTTATCACACACAAATTGCAACTATAAAATATATTAATTGTGCTCTCCTAATCTTTATTTTTATGTATTTAGTTATTAATGTATACAGTTATTCTTATTTCTTTAAAATTATAACAAGCGACAATTCTAATTTCAAAAGTTACTGTTTTATAAGAGTCATAGACTAGACGTTAAAAGACAATACATGGGAGCAACGTTAATAACTCTGACAAAAAATATATTACCTTTCTCCCTCTCCTCCTTAGATGGTGTGGTGGTGTTCGCGGTGGAGCCAGCGGGCGGACGCCGTAAGGGCAGCGTCACGGTTGCTTCGGTCGCGGTCGTAGACGTCGGCACTGTGGTACTCGCATTTACTACCGCGTTCGTGGTCGCAACAGCTCGCGGCGACGACCGACCCGCGTCCTCCAGTTCAAACTATTCGATAATAAAGTTTAAATTTTACTATTTTATATTAAATGCAATGTAAAATCTGAGAAAAATAATGAACAGAATCTGTTTCTTACAGACCGATAAGCAAGTAAGTAAACGGTCTATTTATCTCGCTCTAAGATACACAATGTTTAGAAACATACAAGGGAACTTAATAAAACGGACATGGTATACAAATTATCATAGTCCATCTATATGGTGACCATTATCATGTAAGAATAACAAATGTAACAATGAAAATTATTGCTTTTAATTTATGACAAAAACAAAATTTTAAAGAACAAGTTATTGTGATTTAAAAACTAAAATATTGAATCGATTTTGACAAAAATCTCTATGGGGACCAATTTGAAACTATAGTAAGTAGTATCCTTAGAGTAAAAAAAAAATTTAATTTAGTATATAATTTACGAAGTTATGAGGTAACAAACATAATAAGAATAAAACCGAATTGAGAACCTCCATTTGTTTTGAACCCGGTTGATAAATAATATCTTTCAATGAATAACTATACTTTAGTACAGATATTTTAGTAAAATCACACAATGTAGCGTTGTCAAGAACACACAGCAACACATAGGTAAAGCAGTTAGAACGTGCACGAAACATAAACAAATTAACGTACCCGTAGGTACAAATGATTCATTTGTGAACAAGGCTTTTCATTAGGCGAATATTTAGTACAATTTAATATTAAATTCTTGTATATAAAACATCACTTGGAGAGCTCTTTGAATATAATATCTCTCAAAGATGTTTGTTCCACAGAATGGTTAATATTATATTGACAGCGCATTGTAACACAAAATCCAAAAAAAAATTTTTTTTTCTAGATTCTGCTCATTTCGCACTTTCATTTTTTATATATAATATTTAAATTTCACTTAAATGTCAGTCTAATCATGGCATAGTCAGTAACTGTTAGTAAAAAAAAACTTTGTACAAATTTACATACTTCGCAATATCGAACATAAATGTACTTACAGAATAGTAACTATTCCTTTACTATATATTAAAAATATTAGAACGTTTTTAAAGTATTTACACACTGCTAAATTTTTATACATTAGAAAATTTATTCGACTTTATCGGTATAATGATAGTATAAATTAATATATAACAATTTCATAATGCTATAAATGGGATTATTCTACAGGTATACATAAAAAATTAAACTGTACATATGTTTTCATGATAAAATTATAAGGATGTAATGTTGAATAACATATATTTAAATCACAACGGCAATACTACTTTTTTAGTAAAATAAATTGCTTACTGTATTGTATTATTTTATTGTTAAACGTTTCATAAGTAAAAATTATATTTTAACATTATTTTATATTTGTATATATTTATATTCTCTCTACTAAAACACACGTAAGTTAATGTAGTGTTTATAACATTAAAATACTGTTTTTGTATTGCTCATTTAATTTAAATGTGTAAATAGAAGGAAAATAAAATTAATTTCAGAAAGATTAGTAATCCTTGAATTGTAGATGATCTCGGTCGCCTAATTGTAGATTTTGAACTAGAAAACATTTCAAAAATAGAGCATAGCTCATGGCTCAAGCGACTGGATAAAAAGGTATCATTTAAAAAAGAAAACAACACACGCGTTTTTCGAAACGTCTTCGTTTATAAAACACACAGAAGAAAACTCAATCCTCTATAACCTACATAGTTTATATAATATTAATTGTAACTGTTATTATATCTCCCGTACAATTACGCAGTCCATTCATTGGACAATTATTGTATTAAAAAGGTATTTCTATGGTGTCATTGAGATGCAGAAAGCATGCGACAAGGAACAAAGATCACTGGTCTATGTACACGTACGGTTGAAACAATAAAGCTGATTTCCGAATGAGACTCAATTCCCTCATAGTATGAAACATGAAAAAGCGACTATGTCGATGACTTTTACATCTTACATTAATAATTTCTTAAATCATAGAAATTGTCTGACATTTTTTGGGCCCTTTTTGGAAGATATCAAATTACTTTGTTTTAATTAATGATTTTTATCACATAAACATGTTTATTTTAAGAATAAACTGAATTGCTAATTTACGGATACATTACGGATAAATTAACAATAATAAGTATAGAATCGCTATAAAAAAAATCTTGTAACGGAAATTTATTGATCAAGAAGAGAGTCCAAATACTAACATTTAAATATAACTAATATTATTTTATTATACGAGATTTTTTTTTAATGTTTTATTAATATTTAAGAACATTAATAAAATCATAATACATCAACACAGTCGCAATTTAAACATATTTCCAATATTTAAGGTGCTCCCACACATGATGTTATAAATGTTACATTACGTTACATAACATCATGTTGTAATTTTAAATAACAAACTGTATAACGTTTAACATTTTATTTACATATTTATTTATGACTATAGTTCATTGCATATTATAATTTAGTAAACTATTGCGAATTTAGCCCCATATAAGAAAGATATATAACACTTTAGATCCTTTATCATGTATAGAGTATAGAGAATCCGATAGGACACGTACAGAAAAAGCTTGGTGTAGTCATTATAATGTTGGTCATAGCCAAACCAAACAATAGAACGAGCATTCCCCCACGCACAACATACCGCTCGCCCAAACAAATGCTATTTTTGTATAATACAAAAAAGGGAAACAGCACGTTTCACAACTTATTTCAATCCTCAGTACGCCGTAAAAGGCTTCTAAGGGAATCAAGTACACAGTACAAAAAAAAAAAAACAAGAAAATCTCGAAAACAAATTCTATACAAAGCTGTGAAACGTAGTAACAGTAGGCAAATATCGTCATTTTATAGATAGAAATCCATGTGGAATTGGTTAATACCACCGACCGCGCAATATAGAAAATATTTTATATATTATTAAAAAAAATATCTTGAGTTTCCGGGGCGGGTTGCTAGTTTTAAATTTTTTGTTAAAATGTTATATAACATTACAAGTATTGTGTGGGAGTACCTTTACCGTAAAATGTCGTGTACAAAGACCTATACCTTACATGCCAGTCACTTCTCTTATCAACACCTAAAGCGATTGTATACTTCCTGGCTCCATAAACAAGTGACAAAAAAATTATCGATAGATACATCATCGATACCGCACGCATGAAATAGAACGAGACAGTAATATTCGGCATCTTGTTCATATTTATATGTACCCTAACAAAAACACATCTATCGAAAATATTGTTTGCCACTTCTAGGAGGCAGGGGACTTAAAAACCTCGTCGTACACGAATCATGATAAGATTTGCTAGAGTATAACCCGCCGATATTAATACGAGGTCTGTCCGGAAAGTTCGTATAAAAGTGTTCTGGAATGCGAGAAAGAGGAGTGGGGAGGCCAGGTAAGCGCAGGACCCCTTCCTTATGTCCCTAACAATGCTTCAGTTCTGGTCTGACCGCCGTGCGGTGCGAACTGGCTTGTCACGCCATCTGTGAAGTTACCTCTTAACGAAACCCCGTCGGCATGGAGCCCGCTTCCGTTGAAGAGCAGCGCGTCGTAATCAAGTTTCTCTCGAAACTCGGCAAGAATGGCCGTGAAATTTTTGCCGATCTCAGAACAGTTTATGGGGATGATGCTGTGAAGGAACCAACCGTCCACAAGTGGCTAAAAAGATTCAGAGAGGGCCGAGAAAGCATCAAGAATTCGTCCCTCCAGGCCAGACAGTTGATGGAAAATTCTACGTCGATGTGCTCAGACGCCTCAAAGCTCGTGTGGCACGAGTTCGTCCAGAATTGGCGCGAGAGGGGCGTTGGATTCTTCACCACGACAATGCCCCTGCCCACACCTCTCTTGTTGTCCGTGAGTTTTTGAGTAAAAATTCCATTACGGTGACCGAACACCCCCCCTATTCGCCGGATTTGGCCCCGTGTGACTTCTTCTTGTTCCCAAAAACCAAATTGGTACTTCGGGGGCGGCATTTGGGGGACATAAATGAGATAAAAAAAGCTACGACGGGGCAGCTGAGAAACCTACAACCAGAGGACTTTCAAGGAGCCTTCTCACAGTGGAAACGGCGTTGGCACAAGTGCATTATGTCACAGGGGGAGTACTTTGAAGGGGATAAAATTGATTTACCTGAATAATTGTAAAATAAAATTTTTAAAAAACTTTTATACGTACTTTCCGGACAAACCTCGTATACCAGTCCGTTAATATTTCTCTCTGGGTGCGGAAGAACTATTAAACTCGGCGTGTTATAAAAAGCATTTCCTATTATGATAAGGTGGGCTTTTAACCTTCAGATCTTCGAAACGGACCGATTTAGGTACGACAGTGAACCGAGAACAGGTCAAACCATGCCGATAGTCTGATGCAGCGGTGCGTTCAATCGCAATTGTCTATCGGTATGCTATTTACTATATTTTATTATTGACATATCAATTTTTTTATATAAAGTATCTAAATGACATTTGGACACTTAAGTAATAAATACTTACACAATTTATAATCCAAAATATCACATTAACTTTTTAAAGTTTGGATGTAAACAACATCACAGTTCACTCCTAACCGGTCAAGCATTTTTGACTGCAAAGCAGTCAAAACCATGTTAGAGTTAATGTGTTATAATCGATCATAAGTATTTTTGACTACTTTCCTTTTAGGGAACACTATTTGACCGATTGGGATTTTTGTCACTAACATAATATTAATAATATTTATTTGGTGATCGTTTTTTTTAAATTATCGATTTTTTTAGTAAAATGTAATTAGTATGATTTAATAGGAATCAATATTTTTTTTGCCGAAAAATTTAAATGAAATGCGATCTAAACGAAGTTTGTTAAAAGAGTCGAATAGACCGATAGACAACTGCGGTTTGGTCGCACCGTACGCGGACCTTATTGGTGGGGTCGAGCCGTAACCGCCACGAGGGGCGTCGCTCGCTGTTGGCGGCGATGGTAGCGGTAGCGGACGCGGACGCGGTCGCGGTAGCGGTCGCGGTCGCGCACGCCAGCGCAAGTGTGACCGCAACGTCGCCGCCAGCCGCGCGCGCCTACGCGACAGTCAATGTTCAAAGTGTGTGTTCACCTTTACTTATTATCGCGTTGCGAATTAATAATGATTATTATAAATATATAGAACCTTTAACACAAAAAAGAGACGTTGTCGGATCTAATACTTTTATTAATTATTTTCATTCAATTTTACTTCATCGTGCGTCAACAGATGGCGTTAATAAGAAAGTACGATTATATTTAAAATTGTTTATGAACTTAGTTTTTAAAATAAAAAAATAATATAATCATATAAAGATATTCTGCTGAAAATGTGACTGTAACGCTATAAAATATTTTACAAAGCACAAATACCGTTTTTTACTGATTTATGGTAATTTAGTCTCTAAATTTTATTATAAATGAATGATACTGTGAAAAATTATACTGTCTATACAAAATACGACTTTGAAAGAAAAGTCATATCTGTATCATTTATTTTTATATCCTGTTAACGCCCGATTTACTGCAACATTGAGATTAACATTTTTTTTTTACAGGTTGTTAAAAATAAATTCACACACTTTCATCACAAAAGTTTACCTCGTTCTTGACTTGTTTGTAGACAAGTATAAATAGGGGCGCATAAGTTGCTCTTCAAAATGGTTACATTGGATATGAAAATTTTGAATAAATACATAAAACTTAATGTTTACGTAAACACAGATTGTTTAATAACAAATGCTTAGCGAAATATGTTTAATAAAGTAATATACAATTTTATTAGACACTATACAAGTTGTGTAAAGCGTAAGAACTTACTTGTAGTGAAACAAATTATGGCCGTTTATTAACATTGACAATTGACAACTCTTTATTTACAAGTTTGTTATTTGACATTTCAACGTCTTTATATCCTACGTTATCTTACAAACTATTATATTTTTTATCCTTATTTATTTAGGGACACTTGTCCTTTTAGGCACTTCGGTCCCATGGTAACTTAATCAATTTTATTAATTGCATTTATTTCAACAATCAAAAGATACCCTCTGCAAAATCATATAATAGGAGTTAAAATAAGTTTTATTGAAAAAAAAATTAATAAAAATTCTATAAAAAGTTCATCAAATTTTATATAGCCTCATAGGCATGATTTCCTTAAGAAAAATAATAAAAAAAAATTAAACAGATTTTTGCACACATGAAAATTTCGAAACAGCAGTGATGATATTATTAACATATCCATTAAGCAAAATGTTCACTTTCTTCTTAAATGGATACAAAAATATCTCGAAAGAAAAAGATAAAACAATATAATGTCTTCAAGAGGTTTATTGAACTATTGATATTTTTGTCAATAATTTTCCATTTCAATATATAAATTCAATGTCAAATATACAAACTTAAAATATAAAGAGACAAACAAATAAATTAATACAAACAAGTCGATACGGCCGGTGAATGGTGGACAAATCGACAACACACTCATAGTTCAAACGCAACGTATGTACAGACATGAGACACACAGCTAACCTTTTCGATTATGAACCTTATGCCTATTATATTAGAATAAAAAATTAGAAACAATATGTTACGTGAGATGTACTCACTGCAATCCTATAAATAGAATGTATTTACTTTATTAGCGCCTTTTTAATATACCCATCCATCACCATATATTTAATTTCCAATAAAACCCCAATCTAAAAGTACTTAACCCTCCATTACTACTGGGGTACCCAATATTAAAAAAAAAAATGCATACCGAACCGTTATCCGGACTGGCAGGTACTGGGGCATCATCCTTTTTCATACTGGCCGGGGATGGACTCTCCGTCGTTCCATTACCAGCTTTCTTCTTTACTAACTGCTCGGCCGATTTTATTTCGTCAAGCGTAACGCCCTGTGTAGAGCGTCTCGTCTCACGGACACGTTTCGCGTGTGCTTTCCTCTGCGTTTCACTCTCCTCATCACGTACCGGGGGCACGAAGGACCTGCGAGCATATTATCATTAATCCGTGGACATACAAAGGGTTTGCACACAACATAAACAAAAAGCGCAACATTATCGTAGAATCAAATTTGTATTATTTCTAAAACATCACTCTCAAAATGTTATTTAAAAAAAAACATGCAGATATAAATCAAACCTAATCTAATTATACGTAAGTATCATGCGCGAATAATACGTAATAATAACCGCAAATAAAATGCGACGGAGCAAAAAATATAAGACGAAGCGCACTGAATTTAAACTAAGTACATACACACAAAATAACTGAATAAGCTTGGACATAAGAACCCATTCGAATTTGTATTATTTAGAATTTAACTATGAATAATTACTGTAACTATTTCTAAATATATATAATAAGTAAAAAAATGTTGAGTTATTAAGGAGTTTCTTTTAAAATAAATCACTTATTAAAATATTTTTGCATGCCTTATCCTGTTACAATAAAGTTCATATTTTTTCAAAGGAATTACAAATTCCAATATCAAAATTTTATATCAGGTACAAAAAGATTAAATTATAAAAGATTCAGAACATTTGAAATTTAGCAAGCTAAAAAATACTAGCATCGAAAATAAGGTTCTATGTTCAAGCTTATATTTCAAAACAACTGGTGCGTATGGGTACTTGAAGAAATTCTTGAATATGTTCCCGGGCGAGAGTTTGGTCGGCGTGGTGGAGCTGGGCGTGGAATTGCTACTGTTCGACTCCACGCTCTCGGAACTGTTGTATACAATTGTCAACTATAATTCCACAAGCTGTGACCCATATGTAGCTTTATCCATGTAACATAGGATGAAAAGTAACCCATACGTTACGAGTATTGATGTCCTCTATTATTTGAATGTGTAAATTAACTTTTTTTACTAAATCGATATAAAAAGGACTCTTTGATATATAAACTAAGAGTAAGGATACCCTTTGTTATATAAGTTAGGATAAAAGTAACCTACGTGTTAACTTAGTGTATGATCATATACTATAACAAATGTGTTTAACATTTTAGGTGCCATTGAATAAGAACCTATTTATAAACTATCACTTGAATATTAATAATGTTCAATAGCCTCTGTCTACCCCAAATAGGTATGTTATATTAAAAAAAAAATAGTAAAATTAATTCCAAATTGAAATGGCGTTTTCTACATAATTTTTCCATGTTACATTAAGAAGAATAGAACTAGTAAAACAGGCTCCTCTTCCACTGGCACTGACTCTACCTAACGGTGCCATGAAACAAATCCGAACTTGAATATATTGACTTGTAAACTTGTCGAGTTTCTGTCGAGTTGAAATTATTTAGAAACTGTTCAATAAATAAATTTTATTATGTTTTATATATTATGATTCCTAAAGGAGCGAAAAGGGAAACTGTCAAGCTCCGTTAGTTAGTAAATATAAAAAACCGCATCCATTCCATTATACAGGCCAATAAAAAAAATATAATTTTTAAAAGATTTGGATCACAATACCTAAGTAACAAATCATACAGACTATAACCATCTTTCTATTATGTAGATAACTAATAATATATTAGAATAATTAATTCTAAAAAAATTATTTGTAAGCACAAACTAAATCTAGACACCTAATTAAACAAAATTTCCCACATATCTGTATAAAATATAATCGAACATATTCTAACCATAAAGATATATAAAAGAAAAATTACATTTCTAGACTTTCACGACACAAAAATACAAACAATATTGAATCACAACACTAAAACACAATTAGAGAGATAAATCGCGGCCAACAATATCTAAGACAGATAATGGAATGACAGTTGCCCCTATAAGAAATGGGATTATGTCACATCAGATGTATACAAGTTCTTGGAACTCGTACAGATTGTATGTTTATCATATTTTCGCTGACTCTAGGTGCAATAGAGCAGATACGGCTATGAATCCCACATACTGCACCGCTACAAAGCTATAAGATGTATTGAAGATTCACATCTATCGTGAAATGACATCTATAATATAAAAACGACATCCATGAATATTTTTAAATTATTAAACGTATGTGAAACGATATCCGATAAGCACATTTTTTTTTGTAAAATAAATAATTATTATACTAATTTATTTTTTTGTCTACACGAGGCATAAAACGATGTAATATATATCATTCTATAATCAGTTCTTTTGTTTGCCATTTTAAATGTTCTAAAAAAATATCATATAACAAATTTAGAAAATGCATTCTAATTTACTAATATATTATCACGATCATTAATTTCCATCAAACATGCAAACCAGCTTTTGCCCGTAATTTTCGTATGCAATTTTACACCAATGAAATAGACCCATTCCAGATGGCATATCCAGATAAAACTTACAACGAATTAAAATTGTCTTTAATCAAATAGACTTGTTTCCAAGCACTATTAAATCATCATATTTTATAATCAATTCTAAATTAGACCTTCAGGAAGACAACTGTGGAAATCACATACAATTTAATGCAATAGTTTTCGTGTAACGTCAAAACAAAGATACAAACAGTCAGAAAAATTTTTAAATTTTGTGTTTGGACTTCGGTTACTCTTAATAATCCCCTCACATCGACCTATGTACAAATATCATCTAATTATAATTTTATTATATTAGTAAGATATAACAGACATACCTCCTAACTGTGGTTTGTGTGGTTGTATTGTTTGGTTTGGTGTGACCAGCGGTAGTGGTTGGTGACGTCCACGTGTTCGCTTCCCGATCTCGTCGTTCCGATGGACTTATCCTGTATATTTAAGAACAAATTAAAGAAATACTGTATGTTTTAAATCTTATTTTTTTTTATACCTTATAATTGTCATTTTATATAAAATAAATTGTATACATCTTAACAACCTGTATTGTTTTGTCATAAGGAAGTGAAATTAAAGAGTATGGAAGCTTAATAACCATAGTCCTCAGGAATAGCAAATACATCAGGATTACTGTTCATGTCTACAGGCGACGGTTACTAATTCAAAGAAACACATAAAAAATCCTTTAATATCCCACTACAGGACATGAGTCTTTTCTAGTATAACAAAATGACTACACCATAGAGTTTAACTCCAAATATTTCTTATATTGCACTAATGCGTTGTGCTAATGCCTTAGTCGCATCCCACGACATCCTTCTTCTGAAAGTGTGACACGTCGCATTCTTGACTAAGGAAATTTAGTGTATTATATATATATTTACACTAAATCTACTACTATATAATATAATATAATATAATATATAACATATGTGTATTTTCGTAACATACAAAAATTTATAGGAGGAAAAATTGCCTATTCCTGAGACAACAGATCTTAATGCCTAGTCTCTAAAGGGGTAAGCAGAGAGAACCGACTGCCAAAGACCTCTTTATTTATATTTTTTGCTTTATTTACTTCCATAACTCATCTCGTCTTCATTACAAATAAAGTGGTATTCAAAATATATATAATATTTATACACACATAAGTACAATGTACATTATAAATTTTGGTAAAAAAAAATATTGGCAATTCAATGACAAAGAAATCGGAAACAGTTGTACTCACGTGTTGTGTTGAAATACATAATTATCTATACATATACAACATATAATACACATATAACGTACAATTGGAAAGCATACATAGCAGATATTAGGTATGTAATTAGATATGTAGATGATGGGAAAATTACGTTTGATTTGTTATACAGGCTCTAGACATTGGTTTCGGGACATTTTAATATTGTACTTCATTTATCAAATATGAAATAATTAATAAAAAACGCCTATTGTATAAACATAATGTGATTGCACAAAAAACGGGTCTACATTAGAGACTCGTTTAATTCTACAATTAATTTTATATTAATTTTGGTTGCGCGTTTTTGTTATTAATTACAAAATATAATGTACCTTATTAAGGAACTTGAAAACTCGTTAAATTTATTAAGCAAAAATCTTTCCTTTCCTTGTCGTTTATAAACGATTACTGAACTCCTGATTAGTATTTTGATTTTTCGATATTTACTTTTAGACTTTTGATTTGTTTTGCCAATCAGTTACGTAAACTATAATTTACCTAAGTTATCTCTACCTTCCAACCAAGTTACAATGGTACTGGTCACGAGTGTAGGTCGACATATACAAAATACATAGACTTTTCGATGTCTCAAAATACAACAAGATTATTTAATTGTAAATAAAATTAAGTTTATATTACAATTACGCTAATTAACTAGACAAAAAATGACTACTCTGGCAACTTTTAATAATGTTACATTAAAAAAATTAAGAACTCCCATTGTTTTAATAATCAATATTGCGTTATACTTGCTATATCCCGCAGCCTCGCCAGTAACGATAATTATTTTCAACATATTAGTTACTAGCTATATTCCGCGGCTTCGCCCGTGATTGCAACATGATGTAAAATAGCGTAAAACCTCCCTCATCAAATTCAAATACGAATGATAATTCACGAGATTATCGCGTTCGAATAAATAAACCATTATATTGGACACTACACTACGCTACATTATATTGGTATAGACTGTACAAATTAAAATGGCCCGAAACCTGCGCGCCTACGCGTCAACAGCACCTGGTCTGAACATCTTCGTTAGTACTCTCGGACGCATTGTTAGTCTCCTGATTTTTTATCCTGAGCTCGATGGCGGCGAGCGTGGACTTCAGCGGCGGTATCGACGGACACGAGGACGCCTTAATGCGCGCCGTCACGTCACGGTACCGTTGATAGAAACTGTTCACACACAAGCATGCTTTTGCACCACTGACGTATGATAAACAACTAGATTGACGATCAAGCGCAAAAAGTGTCCGAGCCAAAACCGTTAATATAAATATACGAGGTGGAACTGACGTGTACTTTCTCGTTCTAATCTAACCTTCGGATGCCTAATCTAACCTAAGCAGATCATTTTTAGTAGGTGATAATAGATTTATTTGCTCTATAGCCAGGTATAGAATGTGTCACCACTTCCCTTCCCGTGGATTTCATAAGAAGCGACCAAGGTATCTGAATAGTCGAGAGATGGGCAGCAGCGTCCCTTTTAAAACATCACCAAAATTTAACTGGGGTTACCAACCCGCCTGCCAAGCGTGGCAACTAATGGCAAAACACCCCAATAGGCGGATGCCTACGTTCAGCAGTGAACACTTAACAGCTGTTAGAATAATAATGGAATTTAATCTCCGCATACGCTATTAGTATACACAGACGGAGAACCTGTGAGTGATAATAGGTGAAGGTCAGTTGGTCCATTTTAATGAATTCAATGAGAAGTAACTACAATGGATTCCAGGGGAAACCGCATATAAGTTGGACCGACAAGGTATTTTGTTAGCAATAGAGATCATTCACAGGTTGGGAGAGTTGTCATAAATTCATTCGCGTTTAACAAATAATTTTACGATATTACACGACTAACGCAACACAAGTATGAGTGGGAAGGAAGCAAGCTTTCACTGTAGTATTTGTTGCATACCAGCTCTGAATGATTTAGTTATTAAAAAAAACCGTTAGCACGCTAACATAGAAGATGAATCCACGGGAACGTTTTACTATCTTTATCCCCATTTCAATCAAAACTCTACAAGTCAAAATTTGCATTCAACTGATTTTGTACTTTTAGTCTGACAGTTTAAGTCTCTATTTACCATATTTATGTGTATAAAAACACACAAAATACATGCAAAGTCCACGCCGTCAATTGAGTTTGTCCTTTAAAACTAAAAGATTAAGGATTATAATGATATGGTAATGCATCGCCACTCGGACACTTTCTGTACATGTTCTCTTTGTGATTGTATTTACTAGTTTCTTTATACTACATCAATGTTTTTAGGCACGTGCTTTCAGCTAAAGATCTGATCTTTTGGTACCAATGGAAGCAACGTTCCTGCTAGTAAATAATAGTAATAGTATAAATCAAAAAATTGTTAAATATTTATAATTAAAGACTAGAAAATAAATAAATTTATAAAAACGTTGCTACCAACATTAACACCAAAAATAGATCAAATTAGACACTAATTCTATTTTATATTATGATTTTCATGAGAAAAATTTAATTTTAAATTATAGGTAAGTGTCTAACACATAACAATGCTTGTACACTGACGCTCTAACAATGCAGCAAACATGTTATGTTATTATTTATTAAATAGACGTATCTAAATGATAATTTATAATTAACACAAAAACGACACAGACATACGACTTTATACAACGAGGTACTAGGACATCATAGAATTAAATTGTATAGACGAAAAACAAATCTTTTGACTCTTTATAGCTAAGGTCTCAACGTGCACATCTCCCTGCACCTCGGATAATGGACGAAACATTTCAAGCTACATTCATATATTTGTATAAAGCATTAAAACATAATGTTTCTAGCAATCAGAACAATAGACTTTAAATATGAACAAGTAGATAATAAATCTATCAATAAACCTTATCTACTAATAGATTCGCTTGTAACGTGTCTAAGGAGGAGGAATGGAAGCTAAAACATCTCACTTTATGACAAAATTTCAAAGTATAATAAAGACCATGCTACTCAATCGTAGAGTCAAGCACAGATCTTGGTTCAATCGTAAGGAAATAATATAATATAATTACTTATTAAGTTTTGTTATATATTTTGTTTCATTTTGTTATATAAGTGTTGTTATGTAACCCTCGTTATACACAAAGGTTTCTGAAATGTGTTATCAAACAACAGTTTTGCTTGACGTAATTGTACAACGAAATTGTCAATTATATGTATTGTCTATTCAAATCTTTACTAAAGATACCTTATGGGGTAGAGAACATATGCGAGCTCTACCTTAACATGAATGTATGTATAAAAACCAAGAACCGCTGGAAACATTATGTCCTAATAACCGACAACAAATTATGAACATATGCAACTATCTATTGACGCGGTCACAACATCATTTTATACAGTGTCACTAACTGATCTTCTAGCTGCCCGATAGCGCTCGGAGGCGTCGATTTATCGAAAAGGCTTATTAATAAGCTCACATGATTCGTTGGGTCTCTGAAAACAACATCACGTGTTTACACTATGCGCGGATAAAGTATAGGCAAAAGCAAACTAATATAATCCTTAAAAGAATAAAATATTGATTAAATTTTTTAACCGACTTCAAAAAAGAAGAAGGTTCCTATATCGGTTGTTTTTTTTTTTGTTAGTTACTCCTTATGTTTGTAATTTCGTCATTTAAAAATTAATTTGGAAAACTCTTTTTTATACTTTCAGTGACATTTTTTTTTTATTAAAGTCGGTTCTATAATTACAATTTTAAAATAAAATAAAATAACTGGTTTTACCACGATTGAAGTTGTTTTTTTTTTTTTTTGTGAAATAAAATCCTAAACTATTATTAGAGTAATATCTATTTTAATTTGGATAAAATTGATGGAGAAGATAATTAAAAAATACTTTGATTATTTTCTGAATTGGCAATACAAACAAACAAACATAAACAATAAAAATACAGTCAAATAGAAAATCTCTCCCTTATAATTGTTTAAAAATCTAAATAATGTACAACATAACAGACAACACATGCGTACAATAGGTAACACAGTGCTTTGACAGATCTATATTCACACTAAACTTCATATAGAGTACACAGAGAGTAGTCTCTCAGTACTCTATATAGAGAAAGAGTAATCAAATTATTTTAATATTATTTAATTGTTCCATCAAATTAAAACACATTCAAAACGAATGTCTTGGACAGAATTCGATTTTGTCATAATTTATTCCGTTATAAAATTTCACTATTTGTAAATACAGTCGTACTTTTACTTTATCCACGCATATAAAATCTGTTCAAAGTTAGTGCATGTTAAAATGGTTAAAATACCTTCGAAAACCTTTGCACATTACATGGAACTGATTAAATAATGATTTGTTTTTAGTCTTTGAATAATGCCAGCAATGTATTTTGATTATGTTATTCTTTTGATATACTTATGTACTAAAAGAAATACTCCATTTCAAATACGACGATATAACTGAAATTTAATTGACATATAAATAGAAAACAAAAATTAAATAATTATCCAATTAATATTTAATAATGACGTTTTTACATCATTAACCCATACCGTCATATTTAAAATAGATTAAAGAAGAAATTAACTTTTTTATAATTTTAAGTAAAATGCCGGCACTAGACTTAAGAGTACAACTGATAACTTATGCCATGCAAGTTCATCACATGCTATAGAGCAATTGATGTACAGAAATGTATAAATTAATTATATGATAATATAATAAGTACTCACGTCTTATCATTTTCGAAACTGTGCGTTCTTCTAAGTATAGTCTCGTTATCAACAGTGCTATTTGTCGTCTTATTTTCTCCTGCAAAATAACATTATATCCATTACTTTCACATGTAAATATAACATGTAATTTATTAAACACGGAATTAACACCTTAAATTTTGTTTTATTTACTAGTCTATTTATATCAAATATAAACACATATAGCGACAGTGTTCGTAATTTGAAAAATGAACAATTAGTAATACAAACAATCGTGCTATGAAAGTAGTCTGCAATTTTGTACACTTCACTTTATATTGTAAACTTGAAATTGCATGATAATAACATGTTATAAATGCAAAACGCTATAATCTTTATCTGTTTTTATATAAGATAATATTTTTAAATATATAATAATTATTTCCTGATACTATTGAGAGACTACCGACTAAACCGTCTTTAAAAAAAACGTTCATGTCCACTTTTTTACTTTATCCAAGCAGTAAGTACTTTATATTATTCTCAATTTCGTGTATAATGTAGTATAATTTATATATGTGTAAGTATATTTGTTATTTATATATATTTATTCGTTTATATATGTATGTAATTTGAGTATGTATGTATTTCAATAATTACTAGTACCGCATTCGAATATTCTAACATAACACTTCCTTATGGTTGGCTAGGAGAGAATGCTTTTAGCATAAGGTCCGCCATGTACACATATAATATACTAATGAATAAATAAATAAATATAATTGGTAATATAATTATAATTAATGTGATTGATAATATTGGAACAGGTCTAATTATGAACCATGTTGGGCGCAGCAAGTAAGGTAGAGGAGAACAATCTATTTTTACAAAAAATAATAAATTTAAGACAATATTATTCAATCATTTGAATTCTTTTACCTATTGTAGGTGTGTATTTTCTACACAATTGTTATTCATTATTTAGTTATCGATATGTATTTATTTATATTGTTATAGTTAATTCTCAGAAATCTTTATAATAACTTAAAGACCTTTAATAAATAATTTATTGATTAAGTTTGCAACAGTGTCAGTGTCATATTATTAATTAATAATTAATTACTTGTTTTTATAGATAATAAGGTAAATTCATTTAATTATTCGTTAACAGTGTAGTAATTAATAGCTATTAAGGATTTTTTATAAGAAATTTGGCATTTTCATCATTTTAGTGATTTTGACAATTTGTTGTAAATTTTAATTGATATATTAATGTACTTTTGTGTCATGTACTAGAAAATAAGTCTACCTAAACAAATGGCAAACGTTTCTATAGACAAATGTGTTTTCGTTACTATGTGTTTGAGGTAAAACAAGACTGCAACATCCAGCTTATTTTCTCTCATACGTACGGGTAACAATAACTATCTAGCGATAGATTCATTTACCATATGTCTAGAGAGGCCAGTTAATCCATATAGGGATGAGTAATATATAGCAAAATCTATATATAGTAACTACAATATGTATATATTGACCTAATAACGAATATGCATAATATCAGCAATGTAGCAGCCGATCAAAATTAATACAGATGTCCGACTGGTGTGGACGATAATGAAATATGTGATGAATTTATCTCGCCATCATTATCCAAAGGAATCCAATATATAAATATCGGAATAGTACTCATATTACCCGTGCCTAATCCATAGCAAACTTGCAAAACGAAAAATGGATTGCAGAATATACACAGTACAAACTTGCAGAGTAATTTCACAGTCACTTGTTAGGATTAACAACAATATGGCGGTCGACGTTAACGGTTAAAAATTGTGCATACAACTGTTAAGTGCGTGTGTACTCACTGGGTGCTTCTTGTTGCCTGTTACGGAAGGACGCTGAGCGACGCCAGGACGGTGCTTCTTCTGTGTTTACGTTCTCTGCTTGTTCGGTGGCTTCTGGTGAGGGCGCTCGCCCTTTAGGTGGTTTGCCGTCCGCCATCTTTGTTATGATTTCTGGCGCGGCCGGCGGCTTGTCTGCATAATGAATGTGATGGCGATGCGATGAGACATACAGTCCTTGTAGAGCGTTGAACTTGTGTTGGATTCACATGTTATTCGTACGAAACGATTATCAAGATGAACAAATATACAAGTAACACGATTGTATTTTATAAACAAGCTTTTATACAATTATATAACGTTGGCCTTCTGATTCTATGATTGGACCCTGACAAACATGTATCAACCATCTGAACTCTCAGAACAGTTAAAGCTGAAACTCGATAGAGTTGCCCTATTAAATTACAAGTCCCTACAGCCGGGGGGAAAGGGATTGTTAGCAATGGAGTTTGACAGCCACATTGCTAGCAATATGCCTTATTAGGTCGACCTCCACGTGGTTCCCCCTGGAAACCATCGTGAACAATTCTTGTTGAATTCGTCACGATGGGCTAACTGACCTACTTCATCCTCACCTATCATTCTTCACTGGTGCCCCGCCGGTGTATACCGACAGCGCGGGTGGGGTTACCATTCCATTATCATCCATTAAAAAAAAGGTCCCTACAGCCTTTTTCCAGCTCTACCATTTTACTAAGAATTAGTAAGATGGTTGAGCTGCAAGAAGTCCGTATATATAATATATAATTACATATTATTGGACTGTCACTTTAAATTACATAAGTATGTCAATATCAACCTAATTAAATATTAACAGAAATATCAAACGAACAAAAGAAACATAAATTCGATAAAAGCTTGATATAAAAATGCAACATGTTCAATTGGACTTCTTTTAACATATGTGAATTCTTAACACTCGTTCAAAGCAATACAATCCTTGTTCTTTAGGTAACTGGTGGGTTAGCGAGTAAAACTGCCGGTCTTAGAGGCAGTTTGGTGATACTGTTAGATCTTACAGGGTTACCAACACATATAGAGACTTCATACAACATTTGAGGTGATTATCAACAATCAACATGTAGAATGACTTCATACAATTGAATTAGTACATTATAAATTTAAATTGTTTCTTTCATTGTTCTCAACAGTATCTACTTGTATTTTAGAATACAAACAAATATAATTTTACAATACGTACTAATAAAATTTTTAATAAATGGTTTCATTCATCTTATTTCCATTCATTATAAATTCATTTCAATCAATGCTTTTCAAATTCGCTTTCTCGAGATGCAACAAAAGAAATTTTAAGTTTATTACACTATAATATATATAGAATACAACTGAAACTTAATCGTATGAAACTATTCCAGACATTATAAAACTTTGCACTGTTATCAATTAATTAAATGTATTATAATAATAAAGTTTACTAATTAGACAAGTTTAGAAAAACAAATTTTAGATTGAACGATTCTAAATCTCAATAATATAATAAAATTGTAACTAGACGATGTCTGTACATGGGAAATATTTAATAAAGATTAATTTGAAGTGTCTTAAAGTCAGTAAAACTCAAAATAATAATTATTAGAATAGAAGTCCGTCTGTCAGTATGTTTATTCCGGCATCACGCAAAAACTATGCACTAAATTTAATACCTTTTTCGCAATTGTATTCGTGAAGGTATAACGTAAAATCTGAGCTATATATATTTCATTTTGATACACTATAGTAGTAGTCTATTTCATTGGTTTTCTTACTTCTGAAATCCACGCGTAATAAGTTACGAGCCAAAAGATAATTTTTCCATATAAATGAAAGTGAATTGCTTAATATGTTGCTAAGCAAAAAACTACAGAATTACCGAAACAATTTAGCTATTTTCTTCCAAATATCCAAAGGTTACACAATACAATATTGTATTGTTCAAAATATCGGAAGTGTTGTTTACAATTACTGTGTAAATCTCATACTATGTTAAATCAATCCAAATATTCCATATTCAAATATATTTTACAGTGTAATAAGTCTCTAAGTATATTACACACAAACCATTAACAATGTTGTCTGTCTGTCCGGTGATCTCGAGTTCGACGCGCTTCACGTCGTGGCGCGGAGGGCTGCGCTTGCGTTTGTTGTTATTGTTATTATTGTTGACGCGTCGCGGTGCCTTTAGGGTTGCCTCTGCCAGCCACGAGGATATACTTGGGTCCACTAGATCCATACAGGTTTGCCCCTGGTAAAAAAACAAAACAATTACATAAAGGATAAACGAGCCCGCGTATGTCGATATCGATGGAAAATATACTCTCCCCACTAATACACATACACAGCACCTTAGGCATGTGAAAAATTGTAAAAATAACGACTTGAATGAAATGTACACATGCACATAAACCACATCCTAGATTAACACTTAGGTTTTCTTTCTAGTAAAAAATAATAATCGAATCATTCTAATTTACGTATAAGCAATAAATATTTTGTTAACAAATTAATTTAAAAGTGCTACAGTCAACTTTGTTTGCTGTTGTAGTAGTAATGGGTTAAAAAATCATTCTGTAGAGATGAATGAACGATTTTGATTTTCTAATTAATGACATTTATTATTTAGGTGAGGTTATGATGATAACATGAGATTGTAGTACATCTGCTCCATATACATATAAGCATGATATTAACAACTTTAATACTCCCAACTTTTAATTCTATGCAATAACATGATGTTAACAATTCTTTAAATTACTTGTGAGTGGTTGAAACTAAAATAATTCAATTCATACAATCAATTAAAAATCTAATTAAAAAACAGAAACATTGATGATTAACTGTATCCCGCGACTTCGACCGCGTAAATCAGTACATAAAGTATTCTATGTGCTAAGTTAAAATGTAACCTACCTGTACACCAAATTTTATTCAAATTCATTCAGTAGTTTTTGTGTGAAAAAGTAACAAGCATCCGTAGATCTGTTCATCGTTACAAATTTTCACATTTATAATAAATTAATAATAGTGTCTAAGATCCCAAATATGACCCTATTATTTCCTAGATGTATGATATTAAAATTGCATTAACTAGCTATATATATATATATATATATATATATATATATATATATATATATATATATATATATATATATATATATATATATATATATATATATATATATATATATATATATATGTGTATATATATATATATATATATATATATATATATATATATATCAATTAATTTCGTTACGGTCTATAGTGTAGTAGTGTAGTAGCCGATTAAAAAGATATAATAAAGTAAATAGTATCTCATTAAATAGAGTAGCTAACCGAGTAGTTCTTGAGGTGTGGATCGGCTCCATACTTGAGCAGCAGTGCAGCGGCGTCCTTTTGTCCCCAAAGCGCAGCCGCATGCAATGGTGTCCACCCCTCGTAGTCCACACTGTCGGGCTCTGCGTTGCACTCATTTAGAAGCGTTTTCGCGACCTGTTTAAATAAAAAGTAAATAAATAAACATCCTCAGGCTAAAATTTCATATGTTTGTTTGAGAGCACACCGTGAAGCATTCCACAATCATATTCATCTCCAGTATGTCAAAAAAGGTTATTATAGAATTATATTTCTCGTGTTAGTCGCGTCCTCTATAAAAAAAAAAAAAAAATTAACAAACATTTTTAAATTTTACAATTATAAAATTGTCATTCTGTTTAGCTGAAATTCGATTTTAGGATCCTCATACCACAGTCAAGCCTAGCCCGTCTGAGTTTGATCTTTCAAGAATAGGAAGCAAAAAGCAATGAGCTACAAGAAAATGAAAAGTTGAAATATAATCCTGCATATACATTATTTCGAATCCTCAAGTTCGAAATTTAAACTACCTAACCAACTTCATAATCGTGGGTAAATGTACTCCTTATATAAGGAGAGATCAGTAGGATAATTAGATCTGTTGCTGTTCATAATTAGTAACCTATTTCAAGGCAAATGCCTGCTATTTTATTACGCTCTTCTCTGTTCTGGGCTTTAATAACTCAGTTTGCCCACTAACAGTCCAACTCATATAAACATAATGTCCACACCGAAAAATACCGCAGTTTCATATACACAGTTATTTCATTAGACAGACTAGAAGGTTGTTTCATAAAGAACAGCAACATAACGAAACAAAAAACTCTATACCACATCTCTATATAAAGTTTTATGGCAGTAATAATTTGTGCCCATATCTCGGTTGATAATAAACTGTTGTAGCTGAATATCAGCCGAACTAAGAGTTGCAGCGTTGTTCATGAAAATAAAAAACTATGCTTGCATCTATAATCCCAGATAAGATATTCGTTTTTCGAAAACATTTTCATAATACAGGACGTTCACATATTCCAGTCACACACTCAATAATTCACGCATTAAAGGGTTCCTTACATCGATATAACCCTTTGCGGCTGCGACATGTAGTGGCGTTCCCCCAGTCTTAGGGTCCCGCACCTCCACGTAACCATTAGCCGCCCAGTTCTTCGCGTCGCTCAACAGGGTGTCAACTTCCGCATTACGTGATTTTTCGCAATCGACTCCTGAGTATCATTAATATAATTTTAATATTAATTATAAACATGTTTAAACAAAACGTAATATAAAGCTTTTCTCTGAGTTTTTATAACAATCTTCTATTATCCGAATTGGAATCGCAAATAAGCTGAAGACTTACTCGTATTGAGAAATTGTAATAGAAAATAAATAAATACGAACAGTAATCACTGAATACTATGTGTTTATTGTTTGTCTCATGCACTACCAGGACATGAGAACTATACAGGGCATTAGGACTTATGAGTCCTAATGCCCTGTATAGTTCTCATGTCCTGGTTTATATTTAGTTTACATCATTCGGATTCAGTAATTTGACTGCAATATCCTGTTACAACAATTTTTTCTGTATTATTATAAAAGATTCACAGGTTACCAAGGGCATATAAAACAGAAATAACTAAAAGAACTGAACAAATCCATCCCAAGGACACGATAATTATGTACTTCGTACCATAACTCTACTCAGTATTAATCCAGTGTGAAAAACCATCGTGCTTTTTCTTTGTGTTGCAATTTTGAACACGCTCTCAATATAATAATAATTTACTGGGTGATATATTATGGTAAATTCAAATAGATGAAGCTTATGTACATTTATTACCAGAGAGACGCCAATACCCTTTCTCCCTATTAGGGTATCAGCACCCTTATGAGTATTGTTAGTAATGAAGTCTAAAGGTCCTACCGTTAGCTGTAAATGGTATATCGCTAGCAACGGGACCTTTTCTTCAAAAGATTCTTCATACAGTTCACTTTGGAAATTACCATGGAATTTCTAAGAAATTTGTTACCATGTGCCAAGTGACCTGCTCTTATCCTCACCTATCATCCATCACTGGTAGTCAACAAATATTAATAACGCAGACGATTATTTTACAACATCCAATAGATGGAGCTAAACAAGATTACCAGAGGTGTGGAAAATATAGTTAATAACTCGATATACCTTTCTCATCGATCACTTTCTGCAGTAACTCGTCCATGGCCTCACTGTCAACCAAGTCGACAGGCAGTTCGCCATCGTAATTCACGGCGGCTACATCAGCGCCGTTTTCTAGCAGATACCTGTAAATTAGAAATAGAGGGTTTATCAATACAAGTTACAAAAGAAAACCAACAAATGTGGAACATCGACTTTGTGAGTGACAGTGCAAGGCAACCAGGTCAATCCTCACAAATAGGATTTACATATTAATTAGTGTTTGAATTGATTTTATTTAGCATTTGTAAGTAGTAACAAGTTAATGTTAATTTACACTTCTATGTTTGATTTAATGAAACAGTAACCAAGTTTTAGTTGTCACAGAAACAAACCATAAATGAAATTAATATTTTTTTTTATTTGTACTATTATTGGACATTAGCAGACTGTCAAATCAATTATCGTTTGTTTACATTTTAATTAAATTCTATTAAAAATACTATAGCTGCCTCGCTTTTTGAAGCATTTGCATTATTACCTCAAGGCATAAATTTTTCTAAAATGATAAATTATACTTAATTACCGTATTAATGATTTATACTAAAATAACACAATGAAAGTAAACAGACACTACATTCTTGTTATTTATGTATCACTATATATAATTAATTTAGTAAAATATTCTTTAAACAACAATATATTTGTTATTTATGTTTACGCTATTAGTTTCTTAATTAATAAATAAAACATTATAAATGTGAAAGTTTAGATGTATGTTACTCAATCGCGACACTGAATGGATTTGAATTAAATTTGGCACACATATGAACCATGGCCTGGATCAACACATTTTTATCATATTTCAAAAACAACTAATCTTGATATATAAATATCCCATGTCACAATGATCGTGCACGCTAATCTCCGAAACCGCTCTAGTTATTAAAAAATAAACTTTAGAAATGAAACTTGTAAAATAAGATGAATCCCAATAATAAAAAGTGGACCCGGTATATGACGGTAGTGGCCAAAACAACGTTTGCTAGGTCAACTAGTCTTTACTAATATGTATTATAAGCTAGCTTTTTGCCCGCTACTTCGTACGCATGTATTTCAGAAGGAAACCAATTAAATGAACTGCTTTTAGAGGGCGTTTCAAGCTAAAGTCAGATTTTAAGTTAGACTTTAAGGAATACAACTATAAAAACCGCGTCCAAATCAGTTCTGTAGTTTTTGCGTGATACCGGAACAAATTTACCAACAAACAACAAAATAAAAAAAAAAATATTGTTTGGCATTTATATCGATTTTTCTTTAATATCTCACATGCACAATGCATCATGTAGTTACAATTTTATTATATTAGCAAGATATGAAAGTGAGTTTATTACTTTGTTTGTTATCTCTTGGCACTTTGGCTCGTTCTATTGTCACGAAATTTAACATACATAGTCTGTTTGAAATGTAGAATGACATATATGTATAATTGTATATTTTATGTAAAATAACCTTCATTAAAATGATAAGGGTTCACGTCGAAATGTACCCTTGGTGATTTAGATTTAAATTATTGCAATATGAAAATGTAATAAATGATTGAATTGAATTTTTTTATAAACCACAAGAGTGATACACAAGCATACAGCCCGCCTGATGGTAAGCAGTCACTGTCCGACTTATATATAATAATGTCAATGTAACAATAGATACATAAAATTATATCTATGGTATAAAAGAATGCAACTCGAGTACTAATTGAGTAAGTAACCAAAATTACTAATTACAACTTTAGTCAATACATGCGTCAATGTCATGTAGTCACAATTATATAGGAACTCCCGGCTGATGAATGGGTTGCACTGAGTCAACGTTGTTTACTCCGTTACCGTATGGCCGTTATGTAGAACAACATATCGACGTACGTAATTACTCATATTATATAAATTTAATATTAGAATTTACCTACTGTAACTGCTCGTTATAGTACATTAAAAATTATAGCTGGAAAGTTCTTCAATGTTTCTCGTTTTTCTGTTATACCTCAAGGCATTAACGTAAAAGGTATATCAGACCTATCTTACAGTCAAAACAACTTTTGCTATCTGGAGTAACACTATTCATCAGACGATTTGTTGGAAAATAATTTATTGCTTATAGATTGTCATGAACATTTTTTTATGCAACTTAGAATAGCAAAGAAGCTGATGGCCCACCTGATGGAAATTGGTAACCATCGACTATAGACATGAGATAGTTATCGACTGTGATCGTTCTTCCTCCTGCTAAATTGATCTGAATAGACCACAGTAATAATTTCTCGTCTCTGATTTACATCTACAATAAACTGTATGAATATTAAGATCTTTATCGCCATGTTTTACTTATAATTTTTTTTCAGTTCCATTGTACAAATTACTTATCAGACATTCCTAACTTCATGGTCAGGTAAGTAGATATAGGTAACTTAATATGTAAATAACTGTAACTGAACACCGTCAATTGAAGCTTGTGCAGACAATGAAAAACATTTTGTGTAAGCATGCACAACAAGTTATGGGCAAACAGAAAATTTAGCGAATCACGTCTCTCGCACAACTTAAAAGCCTGGGAAGACAAAGCAAGCAAACATAAAGGGAAAACATGTACATGAAAGAGGGACTATAAAGGGAAGTTATGTTCACAGATAAAATGTCACATAGCGGCATCCAGTCTTAAACTAAGCAGAGCTTATACTATGGCTATTAGTTAACTGAAATATATACATATTAAATACATTTTTAATACATACACATTATATACTCGTATACGAAGCATTTAAACCATTACAAACAGCTCATAAATTTGTACTCATTTGTATGTTTGTATAGTACAGGGATCGAACCCGGAACCATCGGAAGGAGAACTGTGTATTAAACCACAAAGATCGTCAATCAATAAATTATATGGCGCTAATTATGTTGAAAAGAGCCATCTCCTATAAACATTCCAAGTAATGTGACTTTTTTATGCATAATTAACTCCATCTAGTAATGGCCTTGTCTGATCTTTACCATAGTTTTCCTAAAGGTTAATTATTTACCTTGCTATACTGAGAAATCCACACGACGCGGTCGCATGGAGCGGGGTCCAGCCCTCGTTGTCCCTCCGGTTCACGTCCGCGCCGTGGCTTATTAGGAACTCCACCATATCCAAGTTGTCGTCTATGCATGCCTGGAAACAACAAATAAGTACTTAAGCTTTATAGATAGAAAATATAGATGTTATTACTGTATTTTCCACCTTCTCATCAAGTCCATTGTGAGATAGATAGTGAAAACGAAAGCTAACTACGGTATCACATACATTATTTCACTACCTCCGTGGCATAGTAACAGGCACTTAGCATAAATGTGGTCCCAGTTCCCGGTTGAGTCAATTTAAATACCAATTGAGCTTTGGTGTTACAGGTAGAGATTGTGCCCTTAGAGGTGGCCCCTAGAAAATCGTCGCCTTATTCCTCGTACCATTGAGTACCCTACCTTAAGAACCAGACAATTGGTGTGACGATACGGCACTTATATATAAGATATCGACATAAGTATAGGTAAAGTAAGTTACACTCTTCAATACCCAGAACTTCGTAGGAAACGATTAAAGAAATCAAAGTCAATATTTTGGTTTCTTTTCCGCACAAATGCTTTATTTCCAGTCAAGACAATGAAAACACTACCGTGGAAATAACAGGCTAAGGGGTAAAAATATTATTCTTAATGGGGTCTAACAGCTCCATTACTAACAATATACTCTACAGGTCGACCTCCACGCGGTTCCCCTAGAAATTATCTTAGTTAATTCTTGTGAAATTTGTTATGATGGGCTAAATAATTTTCATTCGTCCTCATCTACCATCTGTCCTAGTACCCCTGCTAGCTTATACCCATAACGTAAGCAGGCATACCATTTCATTTTCACTCATCAAAAAACAACGGGCTAACATCCTCTTTTTATGAGGTGACACCCATGACTAACTATTATAAACATAAATATTTTGAACTATTGTTTAAGAGATGATTGTGTATAAGTGTAAAAACGTTAACGTCATGACCAAACAGACATCGCCACAACATACTATACTCTACAAGTCTTTATGGGACAAATGACCCTACAAAAACTACTTACGGCCACCTCTGGTAATCAGAGTCGATTCTAATTTGGTAAAGATATATAAATTTTAAAATTAAGATTCCCTTTTTGTAAAACGCTAAAAATACTAATACGGTGTAAATAATTAATTTAGACTTACGAATTCAATGAAAATGTCAAGTGTGAACAAAACATCAGCGAATAATAAAAGTGAATAACGAAAACTCATTTTACCTACGGCACAAATTTCGCAGTAATTCGACATAAATACAAGATTACAAACTTGCAAGATAGTTTAATAAAAAACAGTATCACATCAAACACAAAAATAATATAAAATCAAATTCGCATAGCTCGAAAATAATAATAAATGCCCTTGCAAATTAATAACACAGTTTAAATTATTCAAATTGCTATCAATCGCAAAAAGCAAACCATAGATGATAAATTTTGTGTCATCAAACGTAAGCACGTAACATTGGACGACACAAAATAAGCACAGCAGAAATACAAAAAAATTCCAATTAATTCGCAAAAATATATATTTATGGTAGTAAAAAATAATATGCAAAATATTCAACTTAGCCCCAGCAACAATTAAGAATTATAAACATATTATCCTTACTAATATGAAAGTTACAAATGTAAGTAAGTAATTTAATTGTTAATTCTTGAAGCACGGCAACGGTTCGACCAATTGTAGTTAAATTTGGCATACGCGTTGTAATAAAACACTATAAATAAGAAAATGTATATCTAGATATTTTTACAAAATTTGTAAAAATATTTCTGTACCTTTAGCTACAAATGTTATTGGATAGTTATAAATTAGTGCATGAGTGGCTCTATTTTCAGTATCATTTTCTTTTGTTTGGTTGTGTGTCTCTTGGCTATATCTTTGAAAACTTATTCCTTCCAAGGAACGAAGCTATAAAAATGTAGATACCAACGTTTAGTCTACACAGAGCTCATTATACGTAACAAATATGCACATGTCCACATACATGCACAACGGGAAGTTTATGAACTTACTGTTTGTCGTTCCTGACAATGTAGACAACGTTGAAAAATGAGTATTAGTTTTAAAAAAATATGTACAACATAAAATATCTATAAATAAATTAATTATGGATTTATAAGATACAAATTCATCCATAACGTCGCAGTTTCTATTAAAACATATCGTATAATCGTGTGTCTCATTCCGCTTAAACCTCGGCTTCGCTTAAGTGAATAAGTGAATTTATAATTTATTTTAAATATAATATAGTTCATACTACTCGTTGACAAAGTAGCTTTCTAAAGGTAAAATAGTTTTTAAAATCACTTAAGAGTTTTCGAATTTATCCATTACAATCAAAATATAAAATCTCTGCTCTGCATAACATCATATAAAGTTCTATCAATGAACAATTTTCCCAAAAAAAAGTGTATCTTTGGGAAAAAATTTCACTCGTACTGATAGAACGATCCCTTGTTAGGATGCTAACGATTACATCTTATATTCGCCAATTACATATTGGCAAACTGGATGATGTATACAGGGTGAATGAAAATTATTGTAGTGCAGTAACGCATACAATAATAACACAAGAGCATAGTGTGCATTGTGCAACAGTTTGGAACCACTGCAGGGTCAGTGCCACTGCCGTAGCCGGCCGCGCGTGTCCGACTCTGCAGACGGCATTACAGGCATGCTAGTTCTGCGGTAACACTATCTATTAAACCTATTAATATAATAAATGCGAAAGCTTGCACCGATGGTTGGAATTGGATGGATGGTTGTTACTCTTTCATGAAAACTCTACTGAAATAAATGACATTTGGTACAGGGTTGGTTATATTGTCACTCAGCATACAGAATACTAAGTACTCATTCACGTGGACAAAACCGCAGAATACGGTTAATATAATTAAATCTAAAATTTATAACAAAGCGTGAGTAGATGTTTGTTACTCTCACGCAAAAACTACTGAACGGATTGGAATGAAATTTGAAACACGGGTAATTTATATCGTAACTTATCACATAGGATATTTCATATACTGATTTACGCAAATGAAGCCACGGTATACAGAGTTATAAAATGATGTAAGCAGAAACTTATTAAAAGATCCAACGAGATGATTACATAACGTCGCAAGTTATGTTATATCTTTTAAATTTTGATAGCTTGGACATTGGGGTGAATGAAAGAAAAATTATGAAGAATATATGTTGAGCACAAATGAATGAAGATGTCGGTAAGTGCCGCCCTGGACGGATCTACATTGACCAAATAGGCGACGTGCTGAAGAAAGGTCAAATTTAAGTACTCGTAACCAGCGAGCGCATATAAAAGATTGATGAATGTGGAGGAAGCGAAAGAGAACCGTTTGAATCGTAGTATTTGGCGTTTCATAATTTCTGCCTACCTTAATGGGAAACAGGCTTAACAGGTATGATATTATAACAAGATTACTGCTCTACATTTTTATTCATGATTTAGAACAGCAAACAACCAGACACCATGAAGAGGTGCACAGACACCATGAACATCAAAAAATGCACCGTGAATAGTGCTGTTTGCATCATCCCATGAACGACACATCATGATCATTACAAACCGAAATGCAACCATACAAGTAGATATAGCTACTTCACAGCAAAAACAAGAGTGAAACGACGTGCTTCACTTTATAATCGACATCAAACAAGAAGACGAGAATATTTTCAATTCGTTTATATTTTTATGTTACCTCAGATATCCGTCATTTTTAAACCGAACGAAGACGAACACTCAGCTTGTGGAACGAGCTGAGTGCTGCCGAGGTTTTCCCAAGAGATTACAGCATAGGGTTCTTCAAAAGGGGGGTAAAGAGGTTTCTTCAGGGTCGGCAACGCACGCCTAATACCTCTGGTATTGCAGGTGTTCATAGGCTACGGTAACCACTTACCATCAGGTGGGCCGTATGCTTGTTTGCCACCTCAATGGTATATAAAAAAAAAATCTTTTTATTTTTTCTAAAAAAATATGCCTTTATATAGTTTTCACAAAAACTATATCAAAATCGTTTCAGTTATTCAGATTTTAAATCAAATAAATTGGTTTTGCGGCGACTGAAATCAGTATTTTTTGTGTAACACAATTTATTTGTCCAGGCATAATAATTTTATAAAATGTCTCTATATGCATAAATAACTGCCTAATATTAAATCATCATCAACATATCAGCCGTTAACTCTCCACAATAGTTGCTAGGCTTGGTATACGAGTTGGCAACAGCATTTAGGTTTTGATGTTTTAAGGGAGACGCTGCTTCCCATCTCTCGATCATTAAGTTCCCTTAGTCGCCTCTGACGACACCCACGAGAAAGGAAGGGGAGCCCAATTCTATGCCAGGACCATCGCATGCTCACACTTGCGTTAAGTATTAAATATAAAACATTAATTGTTGAACTAGAAAAACAAGGAATCTTAATGTACTGTTTTAAATTTCCTATAATTCGAATAGAAAGAATTCGAAGCCGCATCTCTATTATACCAGACAAGAGCGTCCCTACGAAATTTTTAATATTAAGTCTAGGTAAAGTTCTTACGTCATATAACCATAATACAATACAATATAAAAATATATGAAATAGCCGTTCCGTATTCACACGACTACAGAATGCATTGTACATACAAACATTACATAAAAAATCTAAGAAAAATTAAACCCTTATCAAAATCCGTTACATGCACCAAGAATCCTAAGAAGCATGTAAAACGATCCCTATGTCATATCACCTTTAACGCATGTAAAAATCATACGCCTTTTTAAAGGAAATCGTATCAAATAGCGCCACTGGAATGTGCGATAAGTCTCACAACTACACGTTGCATTAAAATAAGTGAAGTATACTTGTAATACTTCTAAATATCAAATAAATGTGTTTTCGTGCTTTGGAACTATCACCGCCCGTATTGAATAGCGTGAACGAGGCTCGAAATACACGACTACATTCCCCAACAAAAAATCCTTACCGTAGTTATAAAAATTAAAATGAAACAAGATTGATTCAACTTTATTTTACAGTATTTAAAGAATTATCAGTGAAGCCAAGT